GCAATGCTGCAGAGGTCAGAAGAGGGCGTTGGATTGTCCTGGAACTGGAGTTAAGGATGGTTTATAGCCGCCATGTGGGTGCTAGGAATTGAACCCGGGTTCTCTGCAAGAGCAGTCAGTACTCTTAACCACTGAGCCATCTCTCCAGCCCCAAATCTTAAAATAAAGAGAATTTTCATTAAGTGAAAGCTCAGAGTATCATATTTTTATTCTGTCTCACACATACAGTCAATATATGTTAAGACAATGCATCACTTTTAGCCAGAAAATTGAAAAAAAAATTGAACATTTTTAATCTGCTGAGTTACTGTCTATACCCTTAACAGTTGAAGATTAATTTTGAAGATACACTTCAGCATGAAATATGTTAATTTAGATTTCTAAAATTGAAATAGATTGTAATCATTTATTTTATAAACACTTTTCTGATGCAGTTGATTTGCCCTCTTACCTGGTATTTGTAAAATGCTATACCGTTTCAGTTGTTTAGAAAGTTGTTTCCTGAGCCTCAAATTTCTTCCTGGTGAAATGGGAATAATAAGAAGTACTAAATGTAATACTGTGTGGGCTGCATAGGTAATGAAAACAATTTATCTCTCTCTGTGTTAGATGTAGGAAATACAGGAAATTTTCCTGTACCTCATGGATTCTGATTTATTTTGAAATTTCTCTTTCAAAATTAATCTGTATATTGCATAAATCCCTGTAATTGTTAAAAAAATTAGGAAGTTAAAAAACATAACTAAAAATAACTATGATTCCACCATTTAGAAGTGATTCCTATTAGTCTATCTATATTGATAAGAAACTTTCCTATAAAAATAAATTGGTTGTATTGTTTTATAAGTCACTTTTTAGTTTATATTTTAAGAATTCTTTATAAGAAATCTACTTTTATGACATGAGTTGAACTTTTGTGTATTTTTCTGGATATATTGTCATTTTAAAATTTTTCTATTGCTTTTCTTTTTAGGTTGCTTGTGTCTGTTTCTATTTATTATTTAATGCTGTGCAATTTTTTAAATTTTTATTTATTTGTTTATGTGTATGAGTGTTTTGCTTGCATGTGTATAAGTACACCCATGTTGTGCAGTACCTGAGAAGCCAGAAGAGGGTGTTGGATCCCCTGGAACTGGATGCCACCATGTGGGTTCTAAGAATCAAACCCAGATCCTCTGAAAGAGCAGCCAGTGCTCTTAACCAAGAGCTGTCTCTTCAGCCCCTGTGCAACTATTTTTATATGTCCCTATGTGCTTGTTCTACTGTCTTCATGTCGAGTCTTAGGTCTGCTCTTCCTCAAGACTTAAGGCTTCTTACATTTATTTGGTATGTTTGTAGGTGTGTGTGTGTGTGTGTGTGTGTGTGTGTGTGTGTGTGTGTGTAAGTCAGAGGACAACTTGTGAGAATGGATTCTCTCCTTCCACCCTGTGGGTTCCAGGAATCCAGCTTAGATTGCAGGTTTGGTGGCAAGAGCCTTTACCTGCTGAGCTACCTGGCTGGTCCCACACTTAAGACTTCTGATACACAACAAAAACTGCCTTCTGGAATGACGGTGTCATTTAGTTACAATAGTGTACTGATTCCATGTCCTCAAAGTACACACTATTATTAAAAATCTTTGTCAAGGGACTGGAAGGATGGCTTAGCAGTTAAGAACACTAACTGGTCTTGCAGAGACCTGAGTTTAGTTCTCAGCGTCTATATCAGGCAGCTTACAACATCTGTAACTCTAGCTCCAGGGGATATGATGCCCTGTTCTGGCCTCTCTGGGAACCTGTACATACATGCATACAAACGTGCACGCTCATACCCTGTGCTGGATAGCTTTAGTGTCAACTTGACATACCTGAGTTGAGGGAGCCTCAATTGGGGAATTTCCTCCATAGGACTGGCCTATGGCCATGTCTGTGGGCCATCTTCTTGACTGATGAGTGATGTGGGAGGGCCCGGCCCACTGTGGGTGGTGCCACCCCTGGGCAGGTGGGCCTATGCTGCATAAGAAAGCAGGCTGAGCAGGGTCCAGGGAAGCAAGCCAGTACACAGTTTTCTTCCATGGCCTGTGCTCCAGCTCCTGCCTGCAGGTTCCTGCCCTAAGTTCCTACCTTGGTCTCCCTGATGAACTGTGACCTGGGAGATGTAAGATGAATAAACCCTTTTCTCCCCAAGTTGGTATTGGTTGGAGTGTTTTGTTACAGCAGTGGAAACTAGGACACACCCACACACACTAAAAAAAACCTTTGATTAGTTTTTACATTTAAAAAATTTTTATAAGCAGTGTAAATGTGTGGTGGCATCATTATCTAGATTAAGGAAAGACTGAGTACTTTAGTATTTTGACATAGGCCAGCAGACTGAAATCATCCTACAATCTTGCCTTTCTGTAATCTTTTTGGGAAGATGAGCTCTTCTGGGTAGTTGGATCTTCAGAATAGCTCCATTTTATTATTTCTACTTTATTAAACAGTGTTCTGAGTATAATTCAGCCTTGTCTATATGACAC